CTGGAGACCTAAGCTCTCAAAACAGTTAGTGAGATGAACGAGATGATCCTAAATTGAAAACAATTACAGTCAAATAAAAGATGGTAACAAAAACCAAAATGGACATCTGCATGAATGCAGCTAGTTATTTGAGTTTAAATGTTCATATTGGTTGAGGATGAAGTAGTTGGGATTATATTAATGGATTGCGTGCATGGTGGTTTTGGTTGGAAAATCCATTTTGTTAAAGGGAAACTTGCGTTGGTTTAAACAGGGAGACTTTGTCAAATGGAACGGGAACAGAGGCAAAGCGGGAAAGAGAACTGACAGCAGCCCCGAGGCTGAGACTGGGCAAGGAGAGTTCAGGAAGATTGCGAGGATGACTGGCCAAAAAGCCCAGGCACAGACACTAGCTGCGATGACAGTGATGATTAGGGAATTGGAGTTTTAGATCCAAGAAGGTAGCAGGAGTGGGGGTCTTTGCTTTTGTGAGTAAGTCAGCCTTTTCACCTAGAGTGGAAAAACGTTGAGGAAAAGTCTTAAGGTTCATCACCATGCTACACTGTGGTCACACAGTGTGTTTTTTTGTATGTAGGGCATTTAAAATCTTTTATATACCATCTTTCATAAATGATATATAATTGTATTTATTATTTTAGATGATGTATCTAAATTATATTTTAGTTATTAATGAAGGAAAGGTATTACAGCTTTATCAATGTTTTCAGACCATTACAATACCGGTAAGACTCTTTTGCTGGGACCAGCAGGTGGCATGGTAGTTAAGGCTCTACATGACTGACCATGGTTCCAGTCCCAGACCCTATAGATTGAGGGTCACACTGGGTGCATGTGCATGCATGTCCAAAAATCCCGAAAGAGAAATGGAGAAGAGATTTCTGCAAGACCATCTCCCTGGGAGGTGATTTCTCACCTTCCTTCTGTGTAACTCTGTCTGTCTTTCTGTAGCAAGTATATGTGCCCCGTGGCAAAAACATAAAAAAGAAAAAAGGGTAAAAGATTTGAATGCAAATGTACAGAAGACGTACTGATAACATGAAAAGATCTTGAACTTTGTTAGTCATTGTGGAAATGCAAGATACCCTTGCAAACACTGGAATGACTAAAAAGAAAATTAAATTTTTTGTAATCTTACCAATTTAAAAAAATTTATAAACTATTCTAAAATAAAGATTTGCTTTTGAAAGACTTGTTATTTTAGTTTTTGTATAGGGAGTGTGTGCTCGCTGGAGAGAGTGAGAAAGTGAAAAATCATGCACACCCTGGGACTGGGTATGGCCACGCCACAATCCCTTCTTCATTTTCCTTTTGGGATTTTAGGCATACATACACACATGCCTGGTGTGATTTTGAAGAATTCCCCCCCTGGGGAAAATGAGGGTGGATAGTGCAATAAGTGCCTAAAAGGGGCATTTTTTTTGGGGGGGGAGGTTTTTGCTATAGGGCATGTGCACTTGCCAGAAAGACAGAGACAGAGAGACAGAAAGCAAGAAATCACCCCCTGGGGGGATGGCCATGCCGCAATCCCTTCTCCTCCATTCTCTTCTCAGGATCTTGGGCACACATGCACACATGCCCGGCGTGAGTTCAAGCCACCGGGTCCAGGACTCGAACCACCATCGACTACATGGGAGTCCAGCAACATAGCCATTATGCCAACTACTGGTCCCAAAAGGGGCATTTTTAAGGTATTAAGTAAAATAAAGAATTTTCTTCACCTGGAGCCTTAGGGATAGCCTTGGGGGGAAGGATGAGTTGGGGCAAGATTCTGGTAGTCACCCCCAGGAAGAGAGACCAGTGGGGAGGGGAAATCTAGACATACCGTTTTAGTCCTCGCTAGAGCTGTGTGAAGGGATTTGTAGTGTTTACAGATGATGGGATTAGTAAGATTGTAGAATCAGGGCTTTAACTACTGTGAGACTCAAGAGTTTATATTCTTTCCCCTATGACCTGGCGATCTCTTGGGTCTCTCTTTTTTGTTTCTCCTTTCTGTTTGGAGAACTGTTGTTCCACCTTGGAGGTAGGATATTGGATGCTAGGTGGTCTTTATAGAAAGTCTGATGATCCTCGATGAGAAGAAAGGGGAAAGGAAGCTCGAATCCCTTTATCCAGCAAAATTCATTAGACCTACAGGGTGCCTGAGTCATAGGGTGAAGAGGTCAAGCTTGGGGCCAGCAGGTGGCATAGTGGTTAAGGCACTGGACTCCCATGTGGTCAACCACTGTTTGAGTCCCCAGCCCACTGGCTTGAAATTGAAGCTGGGCACCCATGTGTGTGCTCAAAATCCTGAGAGAACAAAGGAAAAAGAATTGGGAATTGCAGAGTGACTCCCTCCCACCCTCCGGGGTGATTTCTCACTTTCTGTCTGTGTCTCTGGCAAGTATGTGCACCCTATAGCAAAAATCTCTTCAAACAAACACACACAACAGAGGTTTAAACTTAATGTGGATGGATCTTTTTTAAAATAAGAAAGCTCAGATGGGCTTGAATGCAGAACATCTTTTCTTCTGACATGACACAGTAGTGAGAATGTGGCCTTCGGAATCAGACACAACCAGACCTGAACTCCATCTGCCAGGGGTATGACTCGGGTGAATCACTCACTTCTCATAGGCTCTCGTAGGGCTAACGTGAGGACTAAGCAGGATGACGTGTGAGAATTGCATAGCACAGTACCAGCCTAGGAGACAGCTTTTCCTGTCCTCATCTCCCAAGCGTGAGGTTGTTGAGAGAGCTCCACTTAAAAGCTGGAATTACGGAGCTTTCTCTAATTTTCCTAGCCATATCTGGGCTATTGTTTTTTTTAGAATTTATCATGACATTTCCTTTGATCCTGATAAAAGCCCAGTGAAGTGGGTAAGGCAGATACTATTCATAAATGAGAAAATGGGCCCTCTTCGGCATTTCTTTTTTTTTTTTTTCTGTATATATATTTTAAAAATAATTATTTATTTATTATTATTATTTATCATATGGATTTTGCCAAAGACAGAGAGAGAGAGAGGGAGAGTGAGAAAGCAAGCCACTAGTTCCAGGACTCGAACCATGGTCAGCCATGTGGGAATTCCAGCACCTCAACCACCATGCCACCTGCTGGCCCTTCCCCATTTCTTTTGAATATCTTTAGAAATAATCTGCTGAATGAAGAAGATTTTGTGGAGTTCTAAGTGGTATGATAGTGACATCCACTGTAACAGCTCCTGTCATTACTACCTTTGAAGAAGCTGAAGTTTAGATCATTTATCCCTGTCTTCAAGAAGAATTTAACAGTTGTTTTTATTACCTCCCATTTTTGGGGGTGGGGAGGTGTAAAATGTATCATCAAATATATTTTTTTTTCTTTTTTCTTTTTTTTTTTTTTTTGAGAGATTTTCACTGTAGGGCGCGTGCGCTCGCCAGACAGACAGGGAGAGACATAGAGACAGAAAGCGAGAAATCACCCCCCAGGGGGGATGGTCACGCCGCAATCCCATTCTCCTCTCGGGATCTTGGGCACGCACGCACATGCGCCCGGCGTGAGTTTTAAGCCACCGGGTCCGGGACACGAACCGCGGTCTACTACGTGGGAGTCCAGCGACATAGCCATTACGCTAACTGCTGGTTCCCTCATCAAATATATTTTAATGGAAGTATTTAATTACAATAAAACCTCAATTTTCTGAAAATTACCATCACTTGGAAGATCTGAATTATTAAAAGAGATTTTAAGATGCTGATAGAATCTCTAGACTGAGAATTTCAGAGTTCCAAGATAATTGTGTCCTTGATGTTTAGGCTAAACTAGATTTCAGTGAGTGTTAAGAGTATTTGATGGAGAAAACCAGAGACAGGAAAGTAACCAAGGCTGTCATAGGCCAAAGGAAAGTGAGAGATGGCAGGTGTTGGAGCAGCTCAGGCGAGGTGACCCAGGTGCAGTGGGGAACAGAACTGGAATGACAGGAAGGCAGGCGATAGAGACCCATAGTGTTTTATCAGGAATTCACTTTTAAAAGATACTTCCTGAGGTAAGTTCTGAGTTCCTGCCCTTGGAACAGTCGTTGAATGTATTGACCTCAGAATACTTAAAATTTTCCATGGGGCTGGACAGTGGTACAACAATAGAATGTGACACTGTGTGAGGCCGCCCACATGGGAAGGGTACTGGTTTGCTTCCAGACACCTCCACAGTGCGCCAGGCACATGTGTGCCCACGATCCAGACTGACTGAAGCTACAAGGGGATCGCGGTACCGTGACCCAGTCGACACCTGCTAGCTCACACTCTCTCTGTTTCTCTCAGTCTCTCTCAAGACTCTGTTGGGGGTGATGTATCTCTTCTGTCTTTTTGTCTTGCTCATTCATAGAATAAAGAAACTTTAAAAAATTTCTAAACAGGGGCCAGCAGGTGGCATGGTGTTTAAGGGTGCTGGACTTCCCATATGGCTGACCATGGCTCGAGTCCTGGATCTGATGGCTTGCTTTCTCACTTTCCCTCTCTCTCTTTTTTTCTCTCATTCTGTCCCTCTCTGGTCAAATTAAAATACAGTTAAATAAAATAATAATTGTTTTTTAAAGACTGTTGATAGCTATTATTCTGGGTAGTCTCATTTTTTGAGTAATTCCCATTTAGAATGTATAATTACCAAAAAATATGTATTTTATATATTAGATATTTATTGTCTCTTTCTTTCTTTTTTTAAAAATTTAACTTTATTTATATATATTTGGACCAGAGAGAGAGAGAGAATGCAAGCCACCAGGTCTGGGACTCGAACCATGGTCAGCCATGTAGGAGCCCAGCACCCCTAACCACCATACCACCTGCCGGCCCCCTATCATCTCTTTTCATAGTATCATAAATCACTTTTATTATTTAGATGGATTTATTCCAGGTGTATTAATCTGACTTTGAGATATGTGTTAGTGTTGGATTAATTTTGAAGCAGGTTATACTTTATCCCTTATTCTTTGTGAGATACTTTAGAAGATGATATTGAATGTATTTTTTCTTTTACATTTCAGAATCTTGATTTTTGAAGAAAATCCTGGTATCAGACATGACTGAGTTCTGGCTTATATCTGCTCCTGGGGAAAAAACCTGTCAGCAAACATGGGAGAAACTCCACGCAGCAACTACAAAGAACAATAATCTGGCTGTCACTTCCAAGTTCAACATTCCTGACTTAAAGGTAAAGCTGCACTGTGCAGAGGAGTGTTTGAGTTCATCACCCAGGGGAGGCCAATTCTGGCTCACGGTAGAAATGAGATACCCAGGTTCCTTTAAAAGAAAACTCTTCAGTCTTTCGCTGTTGGCAGAATTTTAAATGTATCTTGCTTTTTAAAGATTTTTTTCTTTTAGAGAGACAAGAGAGAGAAAATGAGAAATCACCCCCAAGGGGAGATGGCCACGCTGCAGTCCCTTCTCTTTCATTCTCCTCTAGGGATCTTGGGCATGCATGCACACATGCCCGGTGTGTTTTTTCAAGTGGCCAGGGTCTAGGACTTGAACCGCTTAGTTGGCGAGGTGCAATCTAGCTGCCTTAACCACCACACCACCAGCTGGCCCATTTTTTTGAGATTTTTAGGAGTAATAAAACAAAATAGCGTCTTTCCCTGCTTAATTTGTGCTTTTCTGAGTTGTGATGAGAAATCACATGCAAATACTTATTACTTTCACAAATATGATTTTCAGAAGTGACAAATTTGGGCTACCTGGTGACATAGTGGTTAAGGTGGCTGGATCCCACATGGCTGACTACATGGTTTGAGCCACACTCTAACAAAATTTTTTAAAAAGTGGAAAATCAGGACTGGGAGGTGGGGTGGTGGTTAGGAGTCTGGATTCCCACATGGCCAACCGTGGTTTGAGTCCTGGACCTGGTGGCTTGCTTTCTCTCTCTCTCACTCTGGTCAAATTAAAATCAAGAAATCAATAAATAAAGTTAAATAAAATAATTATTTAAAAAATTAAAAAAATCTTAGTAATATTATATATATATACATATATATGTGTATATGTATACATGCATATACACATACACACACACACACACAACATATTTCAAATTATCAGAGGATGTGTGCTCTCATGGGGGAGACAGGGAGGGAGGGAGGGAGGGAAAGGAAAAGGGAGGCAACCCCCTCTCCCCAACCAGTGAGGCATGATAACGCCATAATCCTTTCTCCTCCGTCTCTCCATCCCGCCAGGATTTTGGGTGTGCATGCAGATACACCTGGCATGATTTTCAAGCTTTCATGGCCGAGACTTGAGCCACAGTCAACCATGTGGGACCTGGCTTCCTTTAACCATTAGGCTGTGAATCCCACCTAGTAATAATGTATTCTTTAATATCACAGTGAATTAATTTTTCTGTTGTTAAGTTCATATTGTGCCAGCTAGCATTGTAAATGTGTCACCATAGCATCTGCTTAATCCTCCTTGGCACTTCTAACCTAGTTATTTAATGTAGTTTAATTTATGAACCATTATTAAAGATCAGGAATCAAGCAGCTCAAAATGAAGCGTGTTGCCAGTAATCAGTTGACTGAATTTTTGTAAAGAATGGAAAAGAGCATGTTATTTACATTTTGCTGGGTAAGTAAATGAAGTAGTCATAGGCAGAATTCATTTAGAAAATACTTAAAGTGACTGGTCTTAACATTTTGGGAGTTAAAGATTCCTCTGAGACAGAAAGTTTCCTCGGAAATGTGCTCATTTACACACATGGAGTTTGCATACAAACTCATTTACTATCTCTGGTGCTCATCCACAGACCTGTTTAAGGGCCCGGGACTTGGAATGCCCTACCATCAGTGGATAGTACAAGCACAGGCCTGCCTCTGAGGAGTTTTCACATCTTAAATGGTGCTTATACCCATGCATTAGAGGATTACCTTGTAGTTATAAATAGTTTTGAAATGTCTGGCAGACATCTTTTAACCACACTTATGCATTATGAAATAAAGTACAGAGAACTTACAGTTTGTGGGCCCTTGGGGTCACAATGTGATATAATTTTGTTAAAGCAAAACCAAACCTGAGGGGCCAGCAGATGGTGTAATGATTATATCACTAGACTCCCATGTAATCTATTACTGTTTGAGTCCCGGACTTGGTGGTTTCAAACTCAGACCAGGTGTATGTGCATGTGCATGCGTGCTCAAGATCCCAAGAGGAGAATGGAGAAGGGATTGTGGTGTGGCCATCCCCCTTGAGGGGGTGATTTCTGGCTTTCTGTCTCTCTCTGTCTTCCTGGCAAGCGCACGCACTCTATAGCAGAAACCTCTCAATAAAGAAAGAAAATGTGTTATGTAACCTAAAAAGTAACATGCCTTATTTCCCTTCTAGGTCGGCACTCTGGATGTCTTGGTTGGCTTGTCAGATGAACTGGCTAAACTGGATGCATTTGTAGAAGGGTAATGTACTGGGGCTGGCAGGTGGTGTGGTGGTTAAAGGGCAGTGGACTCCCATGTGGCCAACCGTGGTTTGAGTTCCTGGACTTGGCAGCTTGCTTTCTCACTTTCCCTCCCTCTCTCTCTCTCACCCTCTCTCTCACTCTATCCCTTTCTAGCCAAATTAAAATAAATAAATAAATAAATAAAGGTAATGTACTTATACGTATGAAGTAGAACAAAACAAGAGACACTATTATCAGGCGTCTGGGCATTGGCTTTATTGTCTCATATGTTCTACTTACTGGAGTGGTTTTAGGAAATGATGCCTGGGCTTGCCCTGTAGTCCTAGTCATTCTGGGAGCCAGATCCCAAATGGTCAGCCACAGTGTAAATCCTGGCCCTGGTAGCTTGATAAATAAATATACAGGGCATGTGTGTGCCCCCAACTCCTGACAGGATGGAGAAATAGAGGGAAAGGAATTGTGGTATGACCATGCCCCATTGGGGATGCTTTCTCTCTCTCCTCTCGTCTTCTGTCTCTGATAAGTAAACTGCTCCCTGGCAGTTAAATAAAGAGGGACGAGCAGATGGCACAGTAGTCACGTCACTGGACTCCCACGTAGTCAACTGTGGTTTGAATTCCCAGACCCAGTGGCCTGGCGTGTGCATGTGTACCCAAAATCCCAAGAGGAGAATAGAGGAGAAGGGATTGCGATGAGGCCATTTCCCCGGGGGATGATTTCTCGCTTTCTGTCTCTGTCTCTCTGGCGAGCACACGTGCACCCTAAAGCAAAAATCTTTCCAGATCAAGTCCTAGACCTGGTGGCTTGCTTTCTCACTTTCCCTTTCTCTCTTTCTCACTCTGTCCCTCTCTGGTCAAATTAAAATAAATGAATAAAGTTTAATAAAGATAATTCTTAAAAAGGAAAATAAAATGGTGACTTTTTTCTTTTAAATCAACCTTATGAAGTGGTAAGTAAGATACAATAAAATTCAGTACCTATTTGAACGTACAAATGGCAATTCTTATTTTTTTTTTTTTGCTAGACAGTGCATGTGCTAGCTGTGGGAGAGAGAAGGGCGTGACCATGCTGCAGTCCCTCTCGTCCATCTCTCTATCCCCTTAGGATTCTGGACACGCACATGCATGTGCCCAGTGTGAGTTTTAAGCCACCAGGGTTGGAATTCAAATGGTAGTTGGCCATGTGTGATCTGGCTCCCTTAACTACTGTGCTGCGGGCTGGCCCTGATTCTTCTTGAAATGTCTTTATTTAGATATCCTTTACACACCAGGCAGTTTGTGTATTTATTCAGTGTCTTAGTGTATTTGCGCAGTTGTGCAGCGATTGCTCCTGTCAGTGTTAGCACGTTTTGATTACTGCTCCCTGCCCCAAAACACTCTTCCAATTCTCATCAACAGTCTCTCCCCGACCCCCACTGTCAATCTACTTTTTGACACAAAATTTGCCTGTTTTGGCCATTTCATATTAAGGGGAATGTAAACATGGTCTTTCGTAACTAGCTTATTTTGCGCGGTATGGTGTTCAAAGTTCACCTGTGCTGTAGCTTGTATTCACACTGCTTTTATTACCAAGTACTATTTCATTGTTTAGAAATACCACATTTTATCAATCTGTTCTTTGGTTGATGGGTGTTTAGGTGGTTCCCACTTTTTGGCTTACATGAATAATCCTGCTGTGAACATTTGTGTACAAGTTTTTTTTTTTTTTGGAGAGATTTTTTTGCTATAGGGCGCATGCACTTGCAGGACAGACAGAGACAGACAGAGAGACAGACAGAAAGCGAGAAATCACCTCCCCGGGGGAAGGCCATGCCATAATCCCTTCTTCTCCGTTCTCCTCTTGGGATCTTGGGCACACACGCACACGTGCCCAGTGTGAGTTTTAAGCCACTGGGTCCAGGACGTGAACCACGGTCAACTACGTGGAAGTCCAGCAACATAGCCATTACACTAACTGCTGGTCCCTGTGTACAAGTTTTTATGTGCTCATAAATTTTTATTTTCATTGGTTATATACCTGGCAGTGGAATTGCTGGATTATATAACTCAATGTTTAACTTTTTGAGGAACTGCCAAACTGTTTTCCAAAGCAACTGCACCATTTTATATTCCCACCAGCAGTGTACAGGGTTCTAATTTTTCCACATCCTTGTCAGCATTGTTGCTATCAGTCTCCTTGATGATAGCCACCCTAGGGGTGTGAAGGAGTATATTAATTAAAAAGATTATTTTTTGTATGGAAGTCAGACAGATATAGACAGATGCATAGAAGTTCTTTTTTTTATTAAATTTATTTATTTACATTCATTCTTCACTGTACATCAATACAGCATACAAAGTGAGATTTTTCCATCCAGAGTACACTGTATATTGGCTCAGTCAAGCACATCAATATACATGTTATCATCAACAAATAATTTTCCATTTCTTGTTCCCTGTATGTTTTGCTTTTTTTCCCCATCCTTGATTCCCTATCTTTTACCCTTGGCTGTCTCCCACTCTCCTCCTACACTGTCTCTGGTATCTATGTTTGCTTTCTATTTTCTCCCCCCTTATT